CCCCCCCCGACACCCGCCCCCAGGCCGGTCTTTACTCAAAAGTCCGGGGAAGCCTGGGCCAGCCTTTAACATGTGAAAGGAAAGGAGAAAAGAAAACCTAACTTGCAGGGTGGCAGTCTTGGCAGTTTGTTTAAAACCCACCCCCCTAAACTAACAAACAGGGTTTACCCGAGCAAACGCACTTAGCAGGGAGCTGGTTTTACTGCCTTCCCGGGCGGTCAGGTTCAGTGCTGTCCCTGTGGGATACGCCCGAGGGCCTGTGCAGGCTCAGAGCTGACGCGGGTGACCCCACAGATGCGCCCCCGCGGCCGCGCTGCTGCCGGAACGGAGGCACCTGCGTGCTGGGCAGCTTCTGCGTGTGCCCCGTCCACTTCACCGGTCGCTACTGCGAGCACGACCAGAGGCGCAGGTGGGCGCAGGTGCGCGCGGGCGGGGCGGGGGGCGCGTGTGGGGGGACGAGGGGCGGGAGTGACGCGGGTGGGCCCCGGGTCCGGTGCGCGCCCCGCCACCCTGACGCGGGTCCCCCTTCCTCAGCGAATGCGGCGCCCTGGAGCACGGAGCCTGGACCTTCCGCAGCTGCCGCCTCTGCAGGTGCGTCTTCGGGGCCCTGCACTGCCTCCCGCGCCAGACGCTCGGCCGCTGTGGTAAGAGGGCGCGACGTCTCAGCGCTCGCAGCGCGCAGTCCGGCCTGTATTGTGGTTCCTCTGCGTGCAGATCCATAGAGCAGAATCTCCCTGTGCCAAGCGACAAAGTCATGAGCACACTAGATCGGTTCATCGTTCGAGAAAGTCACATTCATTGCCAATCACATAGCTAATTGAATTTTGTTTTAAAGTTTCTCATATCCTGATCACTGGGTTTAAACCTGGTGTCCGTTTAAACGAACGGCGTCCTTGTCCTTTACAGTGAGCAGAATTTCAGGCGCTGACCAGCTGGTGAGCAGAAGGGAATCTCAGCAAATCTCTAGTGATTTCCCTACAGCAGGGCGCTGGACCAGGCGGGGTAACAGCCTCGGCTCTGCTGGGCTGGGCGGGGGCGTCCTTCAGGGTCGAGCTGTGAAAGATGATGGATTGGAGGAAGGCGCTGTGTCTCAGCCGGATACCCTGCACCTCCCTGTCCTCCTGCAGGCGCAGCCTTTCAGCTTCAGCCCGGCCCCTGCCCCTTGCAGCCCTGCGGTGTGCCTTCAAGTCCCTCTCCTTCCCTTTCCCCCCACCCCTTAAGTCCACCCTAGGCACTGCGGGGGTCGCAGGGCACGGTTAATGGTGGCACAGCCCTGCAAGCCCACATCCACTCATCTTTCTCAGGCGGGCCTGCCCGGACGGCAGCATCAGGCAGCAAAACCTCCCCGCCCTCCGGATTTGACTTCTGCCCCCGCCCTCTTGCTCCTGGTGTGTCTAGATGGAAGCGCGCTTACTGAAAGGCGGCTCTTAACCCCCTTCTCGCCCGCCTCCCCTTTCCTCAGTGTCTGTGTACAACACCAGCAGCAGATTCTACCCCCTCTCCTCATGCAGATCACACTCCCCCAAAGCTCACCCTCTCCCCAACACTCTCTGTTTGCTGGGCTTCTGCCTCTGGTTGACCAGCTGCTCCTTCTATGCCTCAGCAAGGAGGACACAGATTTCCTGGACAGACACCAGAATTGCAGGGCGTGCTTGTGGAGTCATCACAGGCATAGTGGGTTCCCACCTTCCAGAGCCCCCCCCCCACACACACACACAATGAGAATGCTGGGTCATTTCTAGTCTTCTGTGCAGGGGCAGCTTGGGTTCCAGGATATCTGATCCCGGTTTGACATCCTTGGAAACATCCAGGGCTGGGATTGCTACCTACCAAGGACATCGGTAGTGGCTGTGTGTTCATCAGAGCTGGACGATTGATGCAGGTATCTTTCAGAGTAACTGGTCAGGTGCAGAAGGACAGTAATGCATTGTGCTCTATGACCTATTGACTCTGCCTCAGGGAGAGGCACTGGTAGTGGCTGTGTTGATAGTGGTTGTGAGGACATGAGGATGACCACAGCACTGGTGGTGTGTGACTCTGCTGTATTTCAGGGACTCTTTACCCATCACATTTAACTCTCCTGCCAGCTGTGACATGGCTATTACCCTGAGAAAACTGAGGTTCAGAGAGTGAACAGCTACAGATAGTAAACTGGATCTGGCCCTTAATCACTGTATCATTCCCCTACTCTCCCTGTAAAATAATTATCACTATGAAAAGAATGAAGATGTTTTTGGTAATGTTAGTTAGAATATGGAAAATTTGGTCACATTGTAAACCCAACAGCACAGTAATAGGTAAGTAAATGTTTTCAGTCCTTTAATGGGCTATTACGATGCTTTTGAAGAATATATAGAAGACAGATGGAAAAATCGTATTTGCAATATGATTGTAATAAGGTGAAAAGACAGATATGGGCAAGAGGGGTAGCAAATACATACCATACCAGAAAAGCATGGCCCTCAGCTCTGCAGGGACGCTCCTTGCTCTAATGGATACTCTGAGGGTCCAAGAATGAAAAATTTCCAGCTAACAGGACCTTTATTCAGTCCTGACCCAGCTCAGGATGGTATAGTATGTGCTGCCTCGAGGCCACATGTGGCCTTCTGGATCCTTGAGTTCAGCCTTTTGACTGAATCCAAGTTTTGCAAAACAGATCCTTTTAATAAAGGGATTTCTTTTGTGAAGTTTGGATTTGGTTAAGAGGCTGCACTTTTGATCTGATGTGCCCTTGAGACTGCAGATTTCCCACCCCTGGAAGGAGCAACTCTATACCTGTGACGCCAAAGGTCCAAGTGTATATTTTCCCTGGCATCAAGAGCTGATTAATACTCCAGAATTTAGGTTCTATGTAATGACACAGGGAATAGCAAACTCAGGTATCTTCAAAGATAAGCAGGTAACATAAATGAGAGATTGGTTCAGGTCAAGACTCACTTCACTGCTGCAAACAATTTTTAAAAATGCATTTGTGGCAAAACCAACCAACAAACCAGGAAGTAGACGTCTGTGGGCCAGACCTTTGGATCAGCGAGATGATGCCATTGGAATGACCCTCACAGGTCCCAGTACCAGCTGCTCCGAGCCTATAAGTTTGTACCCCAGGTCCAGCCTCCCCATGACAAATGCCATTTGGGGGGTTGAGCTCCTCAGGTGTTACCACAAGAGAGAAAACCATCTGGCTCCCAGGGACATCCTGAAGGCTGGGTTTGTCCCTCATCCCATTAAAACATGATGTTATCCTCACCCAGGTTGGTCACTGATTTTGTTTTAAATCTTCCACTCTATCAGTAAAAAATAATTTGTACATGTTCCTCATTCAGCAGTGGAGATGCACTTGCCATGCTTGATTTCATTTTTATCTTCTGTTACTTGTACATAGAACTAATATCCAGGACAAAGATCTCTGCTATAGCTAAGTCTAAAACAGTGGTTCTCAACCTTCCTAATGCCGCAGGGTATTTTCATTGTTAAAAAGGGGCCGTGACCCACAGGTTGAGAACCACTGGTCTAAATAAAGGCCTTTTGATAAATATATAATAAAAGTTCTTAGAGCACAGTAAGTGATCTATCACTTTCAGAGTTCCCTGCAACTTATAATAATGACAGACAGCAAAATCATCAATTTTGTACATTTTAATAAGACCTTAAATTTTTTTTTTCTTTTTGAGACAGAGTCTCACTCTGTCACCCTGGGTAGAGTGCTATGGCATCATCATAACTCACAGTAACCTCAGTCTCTTAGGCTCAAGTGATCCTCTTGCCTCAGCCTCCAGAGTAGCTGGGACTATAGGCACCTGCCAAGAGGCCTGGGTATATTTTCTATTTTTAGTAGAGACAGAATCTTGCTGTTGCTCAGGTTGGTCTTGAATTTGAACTTGTAAGCTTAAGCAATCCACCCTCCTTGGCCTCCCAGTGTGCTAGGATTACAGTGTAAGCCACTGCTCCCAGCCTAGCATCTTAAATATTAATGTCATATTTTCATGTTTTTCTATAAATATATAGAAGAAATTCTAATATTTTCTTAGTTCAAAAAAGGATTTGGGGCCCTCTGGGAGGCATACCCATGGTGCTCACAGTCCTAGCATGAAGGGCTAACTCAGCCTAACCAAGTCATGACGTGGACTTTAGGTTTACAGATGAGCAATGACTGCCAAGAGGCCTGGATCCTTTCCTGTGGGCAGCCTGTTTCCTTTTCCCAGGGGAAGGTCAACCTGGACCCAGTACAGCTGACCTGAATAGCTTCTCATGCTGTAAGCACTTGCCTTAGCATCAGCTTCTCTGCGGCCTCATCTGGACCCAGATGTTAGGGCTCTTGTTTAGGGGTCCTGGCATCCTAGAATAATCCTCTCTCTCAAGGCATGGTGATGTGGGGAGGTGGCACCAGTCCTGGAGTGAGCCTGACTTCAGTCCCATCCGTCTAACTGATCCATCAGCCCACCTGTGAACAGGTGTTGCGGGGTCCTTGCTGCAGGTGCTTATCTGCATCATTTTTTTTTTTTTTTTTTGAGACAGAGTCTCACTATGTTGCCCTCAGTAGAGAGCTGTGGTGTCACGGCTCACAGCAACCTCATAATCTTGGGCTTAACCAATTCTCTTGCCTCAGCCTCCCACATAGCTGGGACTACAGGCACCTGCACAATGCCCAGCTATTTTTTGGTTGTAGTTGTCATTGTTGTTTGGTGGACCAGGGCTCGATCCAAACCGCCAGCTCTGTTGCATGTGGCTGACGCCTTAGCTGCTGAGCTACAGGTGCTTATCTGCCTCATTGCTTGTTAATGTCCAGCTTCATACTCACACCAGGTTCCTAAATTCAAAGAGCATTTCCTGGAGGTGTTGTGGAAGGCAGGGCCAGCCTGTCTGGGAAAAAGGCTGGGCTGGCCCTTTCTTATCTGCTTGCTGCCCTGCCACCCTGATCCATCCAGGCCAGGCCTGCATGTGCTTGTGGGAATGCTATCTTGGGAATGCCATCATGCAACCAGTGACCCTACGTATAGAGCTGTAGCTGCACGTGACAATCACCAGCAGAGACTTAAGCAAGACCGGTGCCTGCCCCTAGACCATAGAGATTCCCTTTCAGCTGCTCTGGGTATGGAGAGAGGCGGTGGGGAGGGAGACATCGATGAGGTGCCTAGGCATGGCCTCTTGGGATGGGTCCAGTGGAAGTACTGAAACTGGTGAACACCCTGGGGTGTGACCCACAGTGCCTGGGGCTATTTATATCCCAGCAGTGTCCATGGCTACTTCCTCCTGTTGGATGAGCTGTTCTCAGTCAAAGAAATATTGTGAAGACTAATTTGGGGGAAAGTTGGACCTTTGAAACAGATGGATGCAAGCTGTTTTGTGTTATTGTATTGTTTAAATCAGTTCTGTTTGCTCCATTGCTAAATAACTTGGTGTGGAATAACTCCCTAGAACAGTGGTTCTCAACCTTCCTAATGCCACGACCTTTTAATATAGTTCCTCATGTTGTGGTGACCCCAACCATAAAATTATTTTTGTTGCTACTTCATAACTATAATTTAGCTACTGTTATGAATCATAATGTAAACATCTGATATGCAGGATGTATTTTCATTGTTACAAAGGGGTCACGACCCACAGGTTGAGAACTGCTGCCCTAGAAGGTCATTCTGGTTTGCTTATGTACTAAATGAAAAAGGCTGAAGGGCTGATTTCTTTGTTAGCCTTTAAAAAAAATAAAGTAATTCTCTTTCAGTTTGTCAAGTTCCACAGAAAATCAAGTTGTATCTGGGCACAGTGAAAGAAGTAGTAGAGGTGAAGGAAATCACCCCTTCCCTGGGCTGGGCTAGGGTGGGGTCCTTCCAAACTAGTGTATGGTTTGGGGTCCAGCCCGGAGGTGTGTGGGGCAGGGCTCAGCGGAGGCCTCTAACCCTGAAGCATGGCCCCAGGGAGCAACTGGCCATGCCTAGTGAGGAACCCAAGGTGGAATAAGGCCTTTTTTTGAGTCTCACTTTGGTGCCCAGGCTAGACTTCAGTGACATCATAGTTCACAGCAACCTCAAACTCCTGGGCTCGAGCAATCCTCCTGCTTCAGCCTCCCCAAGTAGCTGGGACAGCTGGGACTACAGGCTCCCGCCACAGTGCCCAGCTAGTTTTTCTATCTTTGTTGAGCTGGCCTCTTGCTTTTGCTGAGGCTGGTCTTGAATTCCTGAGTTCAAGTGATTCTCCTGCCTCAGCCTCCCAGAGTGCTGGGATTACAGGTGTGAGCCACTACGCCCAGCCTCATGGACTAGGGTGATTAGAACAAGTGCAGACCTTTCTGTTTCATCCTTTTAAGCCAATCCTGCGACAGTTTCTCATCGTGCTCTGGGGTTTCTTTCAGACCTGAAGGACTTTCTTGCTTCTCACGCTAATGGACTGAGTGCAGGTGGTGCGCTGAGCCTCCTCTTGCTGCCGCCCTGTGTCCTCCTACAGCGCTTCCTCCAAGAAGGGGGAGCCGCCTAAGAGCACAGATGCTCCCTCCTCACGGCGACACAGGAACCATAGCATCCCCAGCAGGAAGCCCTGGGCCAGGACATGGACATGGGCAACCCCTTTAAATTTCTATGCTGTAAATAATATATATATTTTTAAGTTTACTATAAACTGAAGCATCAGGTGAATATTTTTATTCATATTTTTATTGTGTAGTAAACATTGTCATCAGAGGGCTTTCTTGCTTCCTGGAGCCTTATTTTGAGGTCTCTGTTGAAACGAATGTGAATACCAGGGGTGGGCGAGTTCACACACATGGCTCAGGCCCGTCCATGCAACAGCTCTCACACCACTAGCTTGTTCACCTGGGAGAGGGAGGCAGACACTTGGCAACCCACTGCTTTTCTCCAGGGTAGTTAGCAGCTTCCTGAGATGATCACATCTCCACTAAGAGGAAGCAGCTGGAACAGAACTCGCTGTGAGGCAAGGCAGGGAGAGAACTTAGCCTGGGGAGGTCCTGGCGACCTCCTCACCTCCTGAGTTCTGCTTTCCTAAGGCAGGTCCAGCGGAGGCTCTGCGCAGACTTCTGCTGTGCACACTCCCCTCCCCCCTTTGAGAGCACACAACTAAAGTATAATGCACTTCCATTGAGATTTTCAGCCTTTAAAATCCACTTTAGCTCATAAGCATGTGTAATACAATTATTGTTAAAATTCTATATTGTAAATTCATTTGTTGGCATATTGAAGCTTTTCAACTATCGGCTTTGGAAATGAACATTTAATATAATATTCAAATAAATGTTGGAAAATAAGGTAGAATTCAGTAGAGAGTTGGCTTGTAGTTCACTGATTTATGAGGAAAATAGTTATTCAAGTTTTGAGGCAAATATTTCTAGGCAATAGTAATTTTTGACACCAAAGTTGTCTTTGAGGAGTTTCACATACATTCGGAAAAGTACCTTCCACCTTAGTTTAATAACTGCAGAAACAAAAATGATGAACTTTGCAGATTTATCTTAAGAACTTGAAGAATGAATGCATGGTATCTGCAGAATTTGTGTTTACCAAATGCCTGCCAATTATACTTTTATACCAGTAGAAAATGTACTGGAAAACATCGGCAGCCAAAAAGACACATCACCTTATTTTCAGTAGCGACACTTAGGAAACTGAGCTAAGAGGACAGTTCCACATTTGAAGGCTACAACTGTGGTTAAAAGGAAAACTAAGAATCATTCAGTATTAGTATGTATATCTGGGTATAAACACTTATTGTATCTACTTAAAATGTATAAGTAGAAAATTAAGAATTAAGATTATGGATCCTTCTGGTAGAATAATTATGATTATATATCAGAAAAACCAAAGTCATGTATCTATCTATCATCTACTTACCAACTAACTAACTAGAAAGTCTTTATTTATCTAGCTCTGAAAATGGAGGTATTTGAAGGATAGAAAATTTGAGGATAAAAGGCATTTCCCTGTAAACTGCACCCCAGGTGTCCAGAGGGACAATTAAAAAGAAGAAATTTCTCAGGAAACAAGAGCAATCCTGGGCTCAAGGCTGAAACCGGCACATAAATGTGTCCCAGATCTTATCTGTCTCCTGCTGTTGAGGAGGACAGATGGAGACAGCCTTCCCAGGCATTATCTCCCAGCGTCATCCATGAGATACTCCTTTCCCCAGCCCTGGGTTCACTCACTCTGACAGGCAGTGAGGGGACCTCCCTTCCAGAGGGCACTCACCAGCTCTGTCCTTTCTGAGTTGTTTATAAAAACCCCTCTTTCCTTGCCAACTTTGCCCTGGCTCAGCCTACTCCAGCACATCCCAGAAAAGCAAAATCCGTCATCACAAGTCCTCGCATGTCCTCCCTGAGGGAACAGCGGGCACCCTAGGAAGAGACAGGAATGGCCGTTCAGCCTGTTCCTATGTTAGAGTTTCCTTTGGAGCCCAGGTAGGTGTCTGCAAGCCAGGAGTCCTCCTGCTCCTCAGTCACAATTCCTACACCTCCCCCAGCCCCCAGCCTGGATGCAAATGGACTTTTCCTGGCTGGAAGGATTCAGAAGCAGCCTCTGGATGTATTTCTAATTCCTGTTGTCTGGAAAAGTCACTCTGGCACATGCAACCAGACATTGCACAAGCAGAAGTTTCTGGGACTGGGATTGTCTTTTCCATGGAATTTAGATCTGAGTATTTAAAATTAAGTTTGATAAGTTTTACATGAGGTTGCTGTGAGCTAGGCTGACTCCACTGCACTCTAGACTGGGCAATAGAGTGAGACCCTATCTCCAAAAAAGCAAAAAAAAAGGAGGAAGACGTTTTTATACTCACAGATCCTATCACACATCCTTAGATCAAGGAGCCAATCCATGGACACCATGCAGTGTCACACGGAAGCAGAGGGCGTGGGGGAGGTGTCAGGAGTGTGGACAAGAGCCTTTATTGTGGTCTCTGTGGGAAGGAAGTGGGGAAGTTTGAATAATTATATCAGGCTCTGGGGAACTGTTCCTAGCTGTTCTAGCTGTTCCTAGCTGCCTGGTACCTTCTCCCCTCAGTCCTGCTGCCTTCTGACTGACCTTGGTGCTTCCACACAGGTGTGGCCCTGTGTGACATGAGGGGCCCTGTCCTCTTGGGTCTGTGAATGTGACAAACTACCTTTCAATGGCCTTGCCATACCTAAATCGTAATGAAGGGTTAGGCCTTGGTGCCCTATTCACCATGGAGCTAGGAATGGCCAAAGTAAACTCCACTGTGACAATGTTTGTCCTTTGTATGACCTGGGCAGCTTGGCATAGTAGGAATACATGCAGCGGCAGCGACTCTGGTTTTTCTGTAGTAAGTTCCTGTTTTCCTGCCCAGTTAAGGTAGATTTTAATTAAAGACATGACCAACAAGGCAATTTCAACATATGTTCCAGGCTTCCTGACGCCAACCACCAGCCACATGTGACTGTGAGGGGACAGGCTGTGGTTAGGTGATGGTCTGAAGGTAGAAAGTCCCAGTGGTTGATAGGTTAGTCAATGACCGAATGGGACAAGTACAAGATTGCTGGCCGAGGTGAACATTGCCAAAGAGTTTGAAAGAGCATATCCAAGTGCAGAAGCAGCTTTCGAAGGTGCCGTGTTGTTTCAACCACCTCTCCGTGCTCGAGCTGTTTTCTACCAATAAACTCTTTCTTTTGATATTTATTATTTGGTCCATGACTGAATTCTTTGTGTCACTGAGAGGAAGGACTCACAAGTAACAACAAGATGCCTGTGTTTCAGTAATAAAACCTCTATTTTAAAATATAGGTAAGGACTGTTCACACTGTTAGAATCGTCACAGACTGAAGAGCTGCTCGGGCACTGGGCCTGGTCACCGCTGCTAAAGGTCCTGCAAGTTCTGGCATCGACAGAGGCAAAAATTTCAATCGATGGAGCTTTATTAAGCCAAGATGGTGAAGATGCCCCAGGGGAAAAACACAGAGTGCGGGCAAACTGTGGCTGATTTTCCAAAGGGGAAGTTGGAAACTTTAGCATTTTAGAGGCAATGGAGAAAAGGAAAGGGGGGGGGGGGTTGGCTGACAAGGTAGAGGCTACATTTGGCTACCTTTTTGTGAGACCCAAGAAATCTACATTTTATATAAAATAAGGCAGTGAAGGAAGCATCGGTTATGTAGATAGCCCTGGGCAGGTGGACAAATGTCTGATTGCGTCTTGTCTCCAGTTCTATTATCTGTAAGCTAAGCTTGTAAGTCATCATCAGTGTGGACTTGGACAGGCTTTAGTTTTAGTTACTGGATGTAGGTACGTTTTGCATGTCCTTGCCTGTGGGAGGTCAGCAAGAAATTTCCTTGAAGAAGGAATTTGCTTAAAGAATGCTCCGTTGGAGGCCAGGCGTGGTGGCTCACTTGCCCCTGGTTCCCAGGCATCCACCCCTAGTGCTGTCAGGGATCCAAGGAGGGAGGAACCTCCAGGCAGAGCTGGGGAACTTTCACTCCAATTTTCACCAGCTGGGTTCTGGAGGTATTCCATCACCACCCAGAAAACAGTCCCAAGGGTCCGTAATCCTAGCCCTCTGGGAGGCCAGGAAGGGTGGATTGGTTGAGCTCAGGAATTCAAGACCAGCCTGAACAAGACCAAATTTTTACTAAAAATAGAGAAGTTAGCCAGGTGTTGTGGTAGTTGCCCATAATCTTAGCTACATGGGAGGCTGAAGCAAGAGGATCTCTTGAGCCCCATGTGAAGTTCTTGTGAGCTAGGCTGATGCCAGAGCACTCTACCCAGGGTGACAGAGTGAGATTCTGTCTCAAAAACAAAAAAGGAAGACAGACAGACAGACAGACAGAAAGAAAGAATGAGAGGTAGGTTCTTGGGGCCAGCTCTTCACAGATAACTGAGGCCTTTACCTGTCCTTTTGCATAAGGCATTGGTGGTGGCCCTGAGACTTTGACTTTCTTTTTATACCAGTGCATGCTGCTGCTCAGTCCCTGAAGCCCTTACTAGGGCCTGGACAAGGACAATGAGTAGGGAGCATTCTCTCAGACCCCTGGGATCCCAAACATCTGCTCCATGTAGCCTGGTGCAGCTTGGGTTTCTGCCAAGGACACCTTGATAAGGCTTGAGGTATACCATCACCACCTAGAAAACATTCACAAGGTTCTGAATGGACAAACTGTGTTTCAGAATCCCCTTTACTGCGTCAATAACAACTTCATTTAATAATAAATCTCACCTCCAAGCAGGCCTCTATTTCCCTCATGGCATTTGATTGGCCATGATGAAATAAGTCTTTGTCTGACACATGGGGGGAGAACCCAGGCTTGAGGAGGTGGGAAACTGAGGGGTCTGGAGCCAGCAAATGACAAATGGGAGCCAGATGGTAATTAGGATTTAATCCTTGTTCTGGAGCCCCCTTCGTGGGTTGCTTGCCAGCCTTGCTGCTGCTTCAGGGCTCCTGGAGTCCCTGCTCCCTCAGATACTTCTAGCATCATATGGAAACTTGAAACTTGCCCACTGGTGCTTTGCTCCTGGCTCCCATTC